TCACCTCTAAGACGACAGCAGATAAACGCATCTCATCCACATCTTGTGACAAATCCTCAATTTCAGCCATGTGGGCACGACTTTTGTTTTATGAAGGGTACTTCTTATAAGGCTTCTACTTCTTGCGTCAATTAATCGCCCGATGCCCATTGCTTCCACAGTTTCAGCACTTTCCATTGAGCCTAGAAGTAGGTTCATGCAGCTTGTAGACCGGCCTTTTGGAGACACCGCCTCTAGCCCCCAGCTTCGAGCTTTTGCCTGTCGGTGGCTTCTTCTTCACCCTTAAGGATTGGCCATGCTTAACCATGTTTGTTTCCACAGTGGAGGTACTCCCCCATTTCTTCTTGTTATCCTTCTAAATTCAAAACCTTACAACGAGCTTTTCGACTGTCATCTCCTTTCACTTGTGCTTCAAATAGTTTTTGAAGTCTTTACAGCCATTAGACAGCTTCTCAATCAGCGCAACTACCTGAAATGATTCACTCAAGAACATTCCCTCTACATGAATCTTGTACAGAATTACTTGGAAATCTTGGACTTGACTAATGATGGTTTTTGACTCTGCCATTTTGAAGTCTAGAAATTGGCCAACGACAAATTTCTTTGCCCTAGCATCCTTGATCTTGTACTTCTTGCCCAAAGCATCCCACAGCTTCTTTGTTGACTTCTTGGGATAAAACACTTTGAAAAGTGTATCTACCAGGCCATTTAGAACATAATTCTGGCAAGGAAGTCCGACTACTTCCAAGCATCTAGAGCCATGAGTTTCTGTTTGCTCATTCTCTTCCACAGTTGGTGGATCCTCACTCAAAAATCTCGCAAGGCTAAGAGTAGTCAGGTAGAACAGCATATATTACTGCCATCTCTTGAAATTCACTCCAGTGAACTTCTCTAGACACTCATCCTGGTTGAGCAGTTCTCCCGAAATAGCAGGAGTAGCAACAGGGTTACCTACAAAGGTCACAGCAACGTTGACCACAGGGGTCACAGGAAGGGTTAGCAAGCTAGTTGTCCTGGGGTTCTGATCCCCACCAATATTAGCAGCAGCGGCAAAATTAGTGACAGTTGCCATTTCTAAAAATACAACAAAATTTCACTATTTTATATTTCCAGAAATTAAACTTAACACTAGAAAATCCCAAAATTAAAATTTTAATTTAAAACTAGTCTCACCACTTACGCTAGAATCGAACATGGTTAGGAAAGTTTCCAAGAAGGTTTGAGGGGTCACATCGGTCCCACTTAAGACCTAATTAACCTTAGACAAAACTTTCAAGATCATGTTGACTCCTAATCCATAGGAAACAATTTTTAAAATTAAGTTCTTCAGGGGATAAATTAGGTTAAAACAAACCAAGTTTCAAAACTTTCAAGCAATTAAAAATTGTTAACCAAATTACAAGCAATTAAAAAATTGCTACAACAATTACAAACAAATAAAATGCTTTCAAAACAACAAACAAACATACTTGCTTCAATAAAATTGGCAATTTAACCACAACTAAAATTCAAGAGAAAAATTGCTTCAAATATAAAGAATACAAACCAATCTAATTAGGATTCTATTTGGTCCAAAACTCATTTCCACGCTTAGTTATTCATGTTCAACAAAAAAAGGTTAGTAATCCAAATTTTTTATGGCAATCCCAAATTCTATTCATTTTTTTTATTCCTTTCGCATAAGTATTCCTATAAAGAAAGTTAGCAGAAAAACACAACAACATACAAAGCAAATAATCGAAAAAAAATTGTAAAAGTAATAAATTAATTTAATAAAAAAATTAAATAAAAATTAAAATGTTAGACAAGTTAATTAAACTTATAACTTCCAAAAATTCAATTAAAATTAATTGGCAAGAGTTATAAGAAATTATTACACAATAAACATGTAAATAATTCTAGCAGTCGTGCAAATAATTCTAGAACAATTAAAATGTAAATTAAACTAAAAATTAGAAATAAATCTTATTACCATGTACTATTATCAGTGGCCATTCAATTCTCCGAAACAGTGGCGGTTAGATAAACTATTTTATTGTTCTAATTATGCACTTCAAACAACAAACAGTGGCCTATTTTTCTCCAATGAACAGATCGTGAATAGTGTACATTCTGGGGAAAATAAAACTAATTGAAGTTATATATGAATCTATTTGATCAATTTTATGGGAAACATAGAATCTGTTTTAAGATTCTTGTAGAGATTGTGAAATTAATTAAGAAAACAAACAGATTCATATTTAATAAATTGAATTACAGAACATGAAATCATGGGACTAAATTATACAAGTTGATGAACAGAAATACTCAACAACATAAAATGGTAAAAGAAAGCAAACTAAAATCTGTATGACATTACAGTCTCCTTAAAACAGATTCGTCGCCTCACCATGGGTGCTGGAGGTATGTCTACGTATGTCTCCCAAGATACGATTGTATAGACCCACTAAAGCAAAAACACCTTTTGTTTAGCTCCGACGAAATGACAATGGCAGCACTCTCTCACACAATAATAATATAATACAAAAGCAGACTGACTATAATCTGAAAGCAAAAGAATTCTGTGTTGAAACCAAGGAAGATGGCCTCCTTTTATTCACAATGGAGGAGAGAGAATGAGCCTCCCAGCCATGAAGGCTAGCAACAAATGCAGTCAAAACTGTCCACAATATACACGTGTGTATATATATATCAGCAGCCACTTAACAGACTTGGCCCAAAAAGATTAGGTTGGTAAACCACCAATCAAACCCAGCCCGAACCTAACTCAAGCCCCAAGATCCACGACCCCGACCCGGCCCGACAGCACGCACATGTGGCAATTTTTACATAACCAACTTGGACAATAGTTTTGGCCCAAACCCATCCTTGAAACATCCCTAACTCCTTTCCTTCGAAAAAATTGGATGCCCCAAAAAGCTCATGCTCTTATCAAAATATTGAGGTTTAAATACCTATCAATGCTTTCCTCTACAATCAATATGGGATTTGTAGTTATACACAATTCCCAATACCGCATTCATGAAGCCAACTTTATGAGATTATTTCTTATTCAATTTTTAATATTTTTTGTCATTCTTTTTGTGGTGTAAAGATCTTGTTACAAAAAATCTTAACTCATTTGATCCCACCTCAACCGGTGGTTGGGACCTACTTTAATTCCATATTAAAGTCACCATAAAACCATTGTTCAACAAGTTTTTTTTTTTTTTTCCTGCTAAGATTAAATCTATGAAATTATGCAAAAGTATTAATTGCATAAAAATTGGTTTTGTTATTCGTGTGAAGGGTAAGGGTAAAATGGTTTTATTGTTTTCATCAGACTAACATGACACAATCCATTAAATTATGTAAGGATTTAGTAGACGGAAACTCATACGATGTGTCAATTTGATCCTTCTAGTTTACACGATATGTCAATTTGGTCCCTATTGTTTTAATTTGCTCGATTTGGACAGGGACTAATTTGATACATCGTGTAAACTATAAGGATCAAATTAACACATCGTTTGAGTTTCTGTCCACCAAACCTAACGGCCGTTATTTATTGGATCAATATGACACAATTTGTTAAATTAAGGAGCAAAATCGAGCAAATTAAAATAACAATAACCAAATTGACACATCATGTAAACTACATGGACTATTTACATAATTTACTCAATATTCTATATAATACTAACATGGGTGTGAAACTCACACCACATGAGACCCACAGTCATATGAGGATTTAGTAAAATATTTTGTAATTTATTTTGGGGTCTATTATTTTTGGTGGGAAAAAGAATTTCTGGTCTTCTCTGGGTTGGAAATTATTTGTGAATACACATTGCAAAGAAAGGTTCATTATAGTTTTAGGCAGATCATGGGCCTTCAAAATTCAACTATGCTATAGACACTGTATTTCACACCGGGTAAATCACCAGCTCTCACACAATTTGGTGGGAGAGGTGATTATTTATGCAGTATCCCTATCTTTCTTCTTCAAAATTTAAGGTCATTCTACTAGCCAATTCAGACTTACCATGGCTACAGGTGCTCAAAAACCAACTTAAAACTTCTTGTTCAGGTAAATATTTAAATCATTAATCCATAATACGTTAGATTATCCAACTTTTGACAAACTAAACCCACGAGTCGATGACCTTTTAGTTTAGAAATTTGGTGGGTTGCGGCAAGAGACCCCATTTTATAAGGCTTCTGGAATTTGAGAGTTTTGGACTCCTTAGAACAATGTGACAAATAGTTTGTAAAAAGTAATTAAGAAATTCCACCAAACCTACTTGAATTTTTCCATATAATTTGTCATATCACTGGCCTTTCAAGAAATATAGGTGGATGGGGTACATGCTCGAGTCCTTGCAATATATGCCTTTAGATCTTCCCATTTGATAGGGGCTAAGAAGCATAAATATGGACAGAGACATAGATACAGGTACAGGACATGGCAATTTTGAAAAAAATTAGGACATGAACATGCCAAGAATACGGCAACATTTTCTTTTATTTTTTTCTTTTCTATGTATATGGATAGGACACAGATATAAGAGCCAGCACCGCATATGTGGGTTTTTTTATTTTTTCACTTTCCTCGCTCTTTTTTCTTCATATTTTACTTTGATCTTAAATCATGTTTCTAAAGTTATGTAAAGAAACTCAGTGTTGAGATATGTTTAAACACAGGACATGCATGTCTGTACTGTCTTCAAAGCGTCTTGTAAAAAAATAACTAAAAAAATTGACTCGTCGTGTGGAGTGTCTAACAAGTGGACACACATGTCCCTACTATGTCAATGTCCCATATGTGTCCGACACCGACACGACACCCATTTTGAATGTCAGGGCTTCACAGGATGGGTGTATGTTTCCCATTCTGAAGCACCGATGACGTTTTGTTGAGTTGAGCATGATCAAATATCTTATTTCCTGTCAAATGTATAAGGCTTCATTTAATGATCATAATAATCTAATGCATCTCTGTATATCATCAATTTCTGCAGCTTATGGCATACATGATGGCGGCTGCGGTGGCAACTGCACTACAATCTTCAGTGTTTGCCAAGTTTGGGGAGACAGAGCTGCAATGGATGAAGATCTGCAACTTATATGGGAAATTCTGCAACCAAGTCGGGGAGGGAATAGCCACAGCACTAATTGCTAGCCTTGGCATGGTCGTCCTCTCAGCTATTTCAGCTTTTAGTCTTTTTCGCTTGTATGGTGGGAACAAAGTTAAGAGCAGTGCAACATGGTAGGCTAAGCTCGCTCGCTCTATTGTTCAACTAATTAAACTACAACCTTCTTCACCCTCTCTTTAACCATAAAGATTTGTAACTTGAGAAAGTGCACTTTGTGACTTAACCAGTTTGTAAAATAAAAACAAAGAGACGAGTGTTTGTGGAGTTTGGGAGTAGATTTCTCTTTTCTACATATTGGATCATTTCATAGATAGGAAAACAAGAAGATTTGTGAATCCAAGTTTCTCAGTTTTGCTCTAATAATCAGTAGCAGCAACAATGAAATAAGATGTGCAAAGCTATGAAGCACTGACGCTTTAAAATAAGTGTCGTAGTCATGTCGGACATGGCAAAGATACATGGGACACGCCATGTTAATTTTTTAAGGAACACTTTGAGGACATGTGAATGAGTTTTTTTTTTTTTTGACTTTTTTTTGTATTTTTGATAGATGTTGGATGTTTATTCATTTTTGTTTATATTTAAATACTTAATAGATCATTTATAAAAATATATATATATAAATGATAAGTGCTAATTTAAAAGTGATTTTTTGTTCTTTTAATATTAAACTGGTACTAGTTTTTGTTTAAGTTTAATTGTTTGTGAATGTAATATTAATTTACATAACAAATAAATAAATAAATATATATATAAACAAATATTTTATTATCGTGTCCCATTATGTCCGTGTCTCCATTTTTTTAAAATTACTGTGTCTATGTTTATGTTCACATCCGTATCAGTACTTCTTAGGTGGAAAAATATATATATTCCACTGTGCATTACGTGGATGCATAATTGTATACATCGTCCTTCAAAATAGTGTCTAGTTCATTTGGAATGGGTGCTGCAAATAGCTAGCCATCATGATTGCTGATTTTGGGAGGTTTTGTTTACATTACACTTTCAGCTCTTTGCACTCACTATTTTTGACCCCTTCAGTATTAAAATTTCATTCCTGAACAAGCTTACTATTAACCACAAAAACCCTAATATTGTAATATAAATTTTTCTCCACATAAACACTTTTCCTTATCCAGTGCCACCCCCTGTCAACACCCCCTAACCACTAACAGCCACCACCGCTTTTCTCCCTCCATTCATCTCCCCACCACTACTACTATCTTGCACCACCACAATGCCGTCAACCACAATCATTAAAACCTTAGATCAAAAACCCTAGCACTATTATTTTGAAATCCTAAATCGCACACAATTTGATGTGTCACCATTGCCATCATTCTAATTTCGGGAGGGGTTTTGCGGTGAAGGAGGTTGGGGCTGGCAGGATTGACAGGGAGGGCCAAAGGTGTACTAGTGGTGAAGGAAGGAGTGGTGGTGGTGTAGGGATAGTGAAGGAGGATGATGAGGAAGTGGTGATAAATGGCAAGGGTAGAGCTACACTATATTGAATGTGTTCAAGTGACCCACTAGAATTTTTAAACATAATAAAATTAATTCAAAACTTTAAATATTTTGAGAATTCATTAAAATAATCCCATTAAATAGTTGAAAAACGGGTCATACTTTAAGAAGTGAATATAATTTATCCATATAAAAAGTATACCCTTCAATTCAATGTAATATTTTTAGCTATCATAAATAAATTTGAGAGCTATATATTGACAGTTTTCGAATAATATAATGAAAATAGTTTACTTGAAATCTTTTGTTGAGAAATTCTACTTCTACAAGAATCTTAACAAAATACATGTTTCATATCTCAATTCAAACCTCCACTTCACTAGCCTAATCTTCTTATAATTTTTGTTTTAAAGAAATTCAACTTCAAATCCCTTCATTTGAATTCACTCCTCCAAAAAGAACCTAGGAACAATTTTAACCTCTTCTACTGCTGAAACAAATGAAAATGGCTAGTGCATCTTTGTATCATATAATAACAAATATAATTCTGACCAAAATTACAGTTCACAATATGCAAAAACGAGGATTGATGGATAAAGGAAAATGCTCTTGTAGATGCAAACTCTAGGCTGCCAAATAAATAACTCACAAGAACTTTTATGGTTCATCTGCTTTCCATATGTGCACTTGCTTTCAAGATTTCATCTCATCTGTGAGCTGCTTGGGTGGAAGTGCTCCCAGAGTTCGAATATTGGTAACGATCAGAACTTTTTGATAGTTTCCTAACACAGGAGTCGAAACCAATCTCACGGCACAACTGCATATTGTTTCCAGAAAATCTTTCATCCTGTGGTGAATCATAACCCATCGCCTCAAACTCCTACAAAAATATCAACTCAGTGTAGTTTCTATTTCCAGCCAAAGAATAGATTTTTTCCCCCCAGTTAGTCCCACTAAGACAAAAGGACAGTAAATTTTTGTTGCAGATTGGGTAGTGAAAAAGAATGCAGCATCTTAAAAGGCAATATGCATACCTTGGACTTTGTCTTGGCATAATAAGGTGTTAAACAGGGATTTAAGTCCTTGAGGAACATGTCATCGGGACTGCCGGGAATGGTGTGATCCCCAGAGCTGAATTCCTGAATAAATTGTCAAACAATTATAGCAAATTTATAAATTTATTTTAAGCAAGGATAATTATCTTCTTATTTTTAAATGACTAGACAAAAATATTGTGGTCTTTTCCACTAGACACATTCATTTCAATGGGAAAAAAAATAAATAAATAAACTAGAATGCCTACGAAATGATAATCATCTTTGCAATTTATAATTTTACATTTTAATATGATGTGTATACCAGAGAATTAGTGGCGTCTTCTTGATCATATGCTGGTGTCTTTGGAGAGCTAACATGAGCATCATAACACCCACTCACTGAATATTTATCTGCCTTCACCTGGTCAGCAAAAATAGCATCAGAAACTCATGCAACCTGACTAACTTATGCTAGTAAATACACATAATATTAGTGTGTGATCAAAGATTGAAGTACTAAATTTCTAGAATTATATACAGAAGCCACCAAGTAGTTCAGAGAGAGAGAGAGAGTTTTATTTTACAGATGTTGATGGAAAATTTTGACTATTGCATGCAGTTTTGTTAGGATATGCCAAATATTCAGAAACAAAATGAACGTCAGCTTAACTGTTCAGCTGAGGTTTCAAACAAATGATACCCAAAATTCATATTGCTAGTAGTGCATGTTAGGGAGGTTGAAGAACTCATACACAATTACGCAAAGGAATTTTTATTAACACAAAAACACTTACACACAAAAAGGTACACACTAAGAAACTCACAACCACACATACTCACTTCGACCGGATATGCCTCACAAAAATTACTAGACTACCCTCACTCACACAAGATTTCTAGGCTATGAAGCATGGATAAGGATACAATACAGATATGATACGGATAGAAATACGGCAATAAGACAAAGCCTACATATATACAGGTACGGCTAAGAGACATTGGAAAAAAATTACAATTTTTAATATTATATTATACGCAAGATCAAAGAATGTTGAGAAATCATTCTTTAAGAATTAGGTATTAGTTTAAAACCTAATAGCCAATTTCCTTTCTTTTTTCAATGGGAAATAAAAAATTCATTTCAATATTAAATTTAAATTGTTTATATTGTCTTTCAGCATTTTCCTTTCACACTTAAAAGTGTTATAAGCAAGAATATTACATGCAAGTTTATTTGCTTATTCAATTGTTGAAATATGATTTTAGTGTTATTATGTTTTTTTTATTTATCGTTACTTTACATAAGAATGGATATGGATATAGGACACATGAATGACACATTACACATACGTTAATTCGATAAATTTTGAAATAGTAGGATACTAGTCTAATCTGACTATTTTCTTTTTAAAGCGTTGAAAACTATTCTCGTTTTTATCCTAACACTTATTCTCTAACACTATGCAAGAATTTTTAAAATCTCAATTTCATAATAGTTCGGATACGTGACGTAAAATATCCAAAAAAGTATCACATACTTCTCAAAAGTAAAGAAAATTAATATAACTATCAAATACATAGGCAGTATCAGATATGTATCTGTGAGTATCCAGTAAGTATCGATATCTGATAGAGGGACAATACGCACACAACCACCTTTTAAAAGTAATTGTGTTTTATAGCTTCTAGGACAACTCAAACTACTAGCATTAGAATTTGGTGCTCACACATAAACCACTCAAGTACATGCACTATTTCTTGTTTGATGCTCACTGGGAGAGTTGCTTCAGATACGTAGAGAGTATTCAAGGAAGTATCAATATCCGCTATGGGTATGATACGAATACAACTCCCATCTAGAAGTATCTGTGCTTCATAGCTTTTAGGATGACTCAGTACACTCATTAGACTTTGGTGCTCACACATACAACACAAGCACGTGTATAGTTTCTTGCTGGATGCGCACTGGGAGAGTTCCTTCAATATTTATACTGAGAAGTTCATGAATAAACAACCTAAAGTAAATTTTCATGCATTTGAGTTATGTAAAATTAGTAATGGGTTGAAAATATTGCTTCTAGCGATATTAGAGAGGACTAAAAAGCTACTTGGAGAATTATCTAGAGAGAGAGAAAGAGGAGGAAGAGAAATATAAACAACAATAGAGAGATGACAAAGAATTCTTGAGAGAACAAAAAATAAATAAATTTAAAGAAGGGAAATTGAAGATGATCTCAACAATACATTTTTTTATGATTACTCTAAATGTACCTAAACAAAATGGAACATTTGGAAAGGCAAGCACATATCATATGTTGTTGCTCACTGAATCATGCTTTGGAGGAGTCAGAGTGCATAGCTAATTCATGTAAACTATTTAATACTAACTCTTCATTTGCTTTATAATTTCCTTCTTTCATTTCTCTATGTAGATACTTCTCCTTGAACATTTCTCTCTTCCCCTCTCTAGATTTTATCTCATATCACACCTAAGTAGCACAGACATTTCTAAGAAGATGACGTATCCATGTCATATCTATGTTGGACACTGACACTCTTTGGACATTTCCCTAACACTTGTCCGACACTCTTCAAAACGTGTCCTATTTTTTATTTTTTTAAAGACTCGGACACTCTTTAGACACTTGGAGAACATGCATATCTATTGCTTAAACACAGGTGTCTATCGATTAGATACAGGTGAAACTAATTATAAATTTGAACAAAACAACTTAAGGTAGAATAACAAAATAAAAATCATATAAATTTATAAAAATTAATGTCATATTGCATTTTTTATTACCTTTGGTCCTTTGGATGATATATTTCTATATATAATATAATAAATATATAAAATTATATATTTTATGCTTGTCCCCCACATGTTGTGTCCTGTATTTTTTGAAAATTGACGTGTCGACGTGCCCGTGTCCATGCTTCTTAGTTGTAAAATGATTATGAAATTAGGAAAAATTGAAATACTTTGTGAATTCATGAAACAAAACTTCACACCACACACCTCACCTACCCAAGTCCCCACTATAAGATTTACCTATCTCTAATTAATGGTTTCCAAGGTTCTAAATCACATCGTGGTGTAATAGTCCTAGGAGTGTTGAGCAAATCGTAGAGACAATCAAGTGATGCAATCATGAATTTTTAAAATTATTAGCGACACCTCTAAAGCTCGATTATATGCTCTTTTATTTTGTTATTATTTTTTATTTTTTTTACTTTATTAAACTCAATTTGTCACATTCTATTTAATTTATAATATACATAAGGGTATAAAACTAACTCACAAATGCTAATTAACCAATAAGCTTATAAATTTAATTATACTATTATAATTAATTTTATATTATAATATGTTTCAATATAGTTGAGCACCATTACAAAAAATTTATATGATAAAAATATTTATTTTTATAGGTATATACAAAAGTTAAGTATTTTGTAAAACACCAAATAGAACAAATAGTCAGTGGTGTAGCGGTAAGTTCCATGGTGTTTTAGAGTGTGTGTAGTGTAATTGAGCACATTAAACATGTTTATAGATGGTATTAATAAAAATTCATTTGTGTATTTGAACTTTTTTTCTCTTGTATTATATACTTTTTGGTATGGTTGATTAGATAAAACCAATTTCATTCATACACCAATGATACAAATATTTTAGTTTAATGTGTCAACGATCTAAAGTGCTACCTCTGCAAGATCCTCTGCGAGACAATGAAGTTGGCCCGTAAGAGAAGCGACCTGCCTTTGGAGACTAGGGATAAGCTGTTTTGCCTGCTTTAGTTCTGAGCCCTGCTTCTCCAAAAGCTCCTGAAATTGTGAATTCATCACATCTGGGAATAGTACGGCACTCTTTAATGCCTTTATCTCTTCCCTTTGCTTCAAGCACAAATCCTTCAATTTCTCAACCTGAAAAGTCAAGATTACAACAACAATCAAAAACAATCAAGCTAGCCACAGAGACGCATAAAATAACTCATGTTTCACTTCGAAGTGTTACTTGAAAATATTGATACACTAGAAAATTACGTTTTAAAACTCACATTCCAAAATATAGTACACTTTCGTTCCACAATGGTAAATTTGGCAATCCAAAGCGATCTCAAAAGTTTGTTCTAATATATTGTCTTAAGGTTCCTCTAGGAGTAAAAAAAATCAAATGTAATGAACTAAAATCTAAAATGAGTGAAACCTTAACATGACAAAACATAAAAATTATAAAAAAACAATACAAAAAAAATGTCATAATGTCTAGCTTGAAAAGAAAAAAAGAAAAAAAAAAACATTTTATTAGATGTATAATTGTTAAAATTTTCTCCAGACTAACAATTTCTTAAATGCTTATAGTTTAAACAGTCCCGCTACATTCCCTAATTGGGCCCCCACAATTCCACCCTAATGATGTGGATGAAAAAATAAAGTTTGAGCAAGAGAGTGGATGTATCTTCATGTGGCTCTTAGTCAAGTCACTGGAAGTGGAATTGGGGAGCCTCAATTTGGGGAATGAATTATTTTTCTAGTTTAAACTATATAAGTCTACTCCTATCGTACCACAATTTAGAGCATGTGACATACTCCATTCCTGTTGCCGTGCCACCTACATACTGAAACAATCCACGTTCCAAGTAAATAGGAACCAAATCAAAATTTTATTGCTATTATATCCCGTTACACAAAAATGTCAAATCTACAATCTCTGTCTTCTCACAATATCACAAATTTAGACACCACCAAATACATTAAAACAAATAAAAATAAAACAACAAATGTTTTATCAGCACGTCAAATTCAAAACTCGAAGTTCCATTTTTTGAGAAACATATTTTTTTCCTGAGAAACAGGGGTACATTCAAATTCATTAAAAGCTTTGATATTTCTTGCAATCCCAATAATGCATTTTCAATCTTCAAATTTCAACAATTAAATCAAAAACTATGATATATCCATATACTCAAACACATGCATATACATATCATATATATCCATAACATGAGTATATATTACCTCTCTGTTTTTCCCCTCTAGCATCATCTTGAGCTCAGTGATCTCTCCTTCCTGCTCCTTATTCTGACTCAAAAGCTCCCTCTCACTCCTAAGCACCATAGCCAGAGTCCTCGTATTCGATTTCACCTCCGTCAAAGCCTTCTTCTCACTCCCCACCGACCCCGACCCCAACCCCTTTCCAAACAGCTTCCGATGCAAACCGGAGAAATTCGACCCATTCTTTGCAGTCTTCTTCAAATCCTCCGCTATAAAATCCGCCGGAATGACCAAATTCGCCGCCTTCTTCGGCTTCGCCGCCCTCTTCTCTATCAATTTCTTCACCATTGCACTAAAATTCTCATCGTTCTTCACTCTCACCTGAGCTACGTCCGACGATTTGGCCTTGACGATGGCACGCGAAGAGTTGTGCTCTGCTGCCGCGGCCGGAGATTGGCTCCGGCGGGCGGTGGATCCGGCGATGAGGCGTTTGAGGGAGGATTGCTTGGGTTTGTTGAGCTCGGTGGAGGACGATGGATCGGACTGGTGAGACTGAGTCGAAGATCGAGAATCGAAAGAGCTGTATCGCAATGCAGCGGATTTGATTGAAGCCATTTTTGGGTTTGGGAGTGATTGGTGCGAAGATCTGTGAGTGATTTTAGCGTTTGAATCTCAAGATAGAGTGAGCATTTCTAGGGTTTCTGATGAGAGAAAGAGAGAGAGATTGTCTGAAATCTGAGACATAAAAAGAGGTGAGGCGTGTGGCAGAGATTGGTCGTGATATGGGGAGAGTGGCTTCTTGGCGCTGTCTGAATTCAAATTTTCGCGTGAGAGGCGCGCGATGCTTTAAGCACAACGGTGATCAAAAAGTATAATATGATGAAAAGTTATTTTTATGCTACCCTAGTTTGTGAGTAGACTTTTTTAATAATTTTTTTGATTTTTTGATTAAAATATAATGTAAACAAAATTAATATGTATCGGATGATTTTTTAATTTTTTATGAAAATATGTGCAAAAAGTAGTAAAAAAATAAAATTTTTGACTTTTTAGTATAGATTATTGATTTTTTGACTTTTTTAATAATTTTTTGACTAAAAAAGTCACTTGCCAAAAGAGGGTTGAGCTCGTTTGGAAATATTTTTTTAATAATTTGTTAATTAAAGTATAATGTAAAAAGAATTAGTAGGTTTAGAATAATTTTTTTATTTTTTATGAAAAGATGTAAAAAAAGTGAAGAGAAAATAAAATTTTTAATTTTTTGGTATAGGCTATTGGCTTTTTTGATTTTTTAGTAATTTTTTTGACTAAAATCACCATTTGTCAAACGAGACCTAAATTTAATTAGAAGAAACACAAATAAGAGATCGTTTGACAATGACTTTTCAGTTGATTTTTTTATTTTGGACTTTTTTGTTTGGTTTTTTTTAGCTTTTGGTTTTGGAATGACAAATATTTTTTTTCCTTTTGTGATTTTTTAGCCTAGAAGAAAAATCAAACCAGGGCTACAATATTCAAAACATTACAACTTTTCCATTAATCCAAAAAGAAAAATTATACTTACCTCCTCTGAAATTTATAACAGTAATACTATAAACTCAAAATTAACTCTTCAAAATTATCATCTTGTGATTCAAATTTACTTAACACATAAATTTCACAATACAAAATTTAATCTCAACTACACATTTCATTCGAGATAACTTCCAATACCATTATATACTTATTCAATTTATAATAATTACATAGACTCTCTTAAGGTATTTAAATCACTAGTAAGGGGCCGTTTAGTTTAGGTGATAAAAGAGGGGATTGGAGATGGATATTAACATAATACTCGTGCTATGCACGGGACAGATAAATAATTAAAATTTAATTTTTCAAATTAAATAATAACATAAAATTTGTCTAAAATATATATAAAAAATAATTTAGAATCAATTAAATTTTAATCATTTTCATTAGAATTACACTTTAATCATTTCTAAATTAAGTAAATAAAATCTCTTCAAACCCATCTCTTAAGGTCATTGCCTAAAATCAATTTTCCAATTGAAAAAATAATAAATATTCATGTATCTTACATAATTTTTGAATTAAACAAACAAATAAATAAAATCTCTTCAAACTCATCTCCTAAGATCATTTCCTAAAATTTGTCTTTTTCTAAAATCAAATACAGAATCACAGTTTGTTGACATCCCAATTTAAAGAAATGAGTTAAATATTTATTTGTCCATCTTTTAAAATGTTTACCTAAAATCATTCATTCCCTAAAATAAATCAAAGAAACATCAATTCAAATTTGTTCATATAATTTTTGAATTAAAAAAATACATAAATAAAATTTCTTTAAAATCTTTTAACATCTTTACCTAAAATAATATATATATATATATATATATAAGAAGATCAATTCAAATTGTTCATGGCCTAAAATAATTTTTCAATTTAAAAAAATAATAATTGTTCACGTGTCTTACATAATTTCTGAATTAAACAAACAAATAAAAAAAATCTTTTCAAACTAATTTTTCTAATTTTTTGAATTAAAAAATTGAAAAAAAAAAATTCTAAATGGTTAGCCTGTCAAGAAATAAATTTTAAAATTTAAAATTATGAAAACTATCCCATAATTTTTGGATTTTAAAAGGAAAGAATCACTCAAATATAGAATAGGAAAAAAAAAATTATACCTTTCTATTTTTTTATTTTTTTGAAGTAAATATTTTTGAAATTTGAAATTATATAAGACTAAAGTTATATTTGGAATTTCCTTTAAAGGTGTTTAACTTTTAAATTAGATGGCTAAATTTTATCTTTGACATTTTATTTTAAGATTTTTAATTTTTAAAATGAGGGAAATTTAGTCTGAGGTCCCTCTCCCATTTTTAATAATGAAAGAGATCTACAATATTATTTTATAATGTCTAAGATTCCTCAACCCCACTCCCATATATCACAGAGAAATTTGAGAAGAAATGAAAGGGCTTCAAAAGAATATCTTCAAAAACTAAGCTTTGGTCTCTCTCTTCTCACTCTCTGTTTCTTCTCTCTCTGTCCTACATCAATGGCAGCTAGGTTGGTATCCAATGGCGATTTCTCCGCTGCAAAATCTCTGGTCATCAACCAGCCGTGTTGCTTCTGTTTACAGCGAGGTTCAAGGTTGTCCATGGCCCCCGTAGCTCTGCTGCCGGCGACCTCGACTCTTTCGTTTGCATCACCGCGACTGCTTCTATCTCCTCTCACCTTAGTTTTTAAAGTCATTTTGGGCTTTCTTCATCAGTCATTTACTTCTGGTTCTGCTTTTCCTATACTAAATCAACAGAAAGCAATTGCACAGTCTCTTGGGATTGTGTTAGTGATGCTTGAAATAATTTTATTTTATTCTAACACTCCGCAAGGGGATCATTTATCTTCAATTAACTAATCTCTCTGCTCTGTTTTATTATAATGTTTTTAAAAAATTGCTTTTTTCAATTCAATCTGATCAAATCTCTTTCTCGATTGTCTTTTAAATGAAATCCAAGCTCTATCTATCTGTAAAAGTTGGGCGTGAAAAACCCTAATTTTGATTTTCTCACTCATGATGCTAAACCCATTGGATTCATAGAAGTGGAATGAAGATAATAGAAATTGATTATCTAAATCTGGTGGAAGTGGCATTGTCATACTTGACACCTTCATGGACAACTCTTGTTGCTGGGACTTTTGTGGTTGTCATTCTCATGCTCTCAATCTATCTACTTTTCAAACACCTCTCCGCTTACAAAAACCCTGAGGTCTCTTCTCTCTCCACCTCTTCTTTTCCATTTCAATGATTAAACTTTTGTTATACCCTCTGTTTTATTTGAATTTTTCTGTTTTGGGTTTTTTTTTACAGGAGCAAAATTCTTGATTGGGGTTATCTTGATGGTTCCTTGCTATGTTGTTAAATCAGTGAGTAATCTTGAGTTTTTGACTGATTTTGAGATGATTAAAGTTATTGCTTTTATGATCCATGACCTGAACATGTATATTGAAAAACTAAAAAAAGTGGACGGTTCTTTTTGTCTGCACAAAGACCCTTCTCTATATTTTTATATAAATGGGTTTTTCTATAGTTTTTTTTGTTTATATGCTTAAATGTCACAGTAGAAATTGGATTTGATGATTAGTCCAGAGAAATTTGTGAAAGGCTCAAATGTTTTTTTATGTTAGTTAAGAGATTCAGAGAAATTTGATGTTAGCCCAGAGAAATTTGTGAAAGGTTTAAAGGTTTTTGACGTTAGTTCACAAATCTAGAAAAATTTGGTTAAAATGAACCAAGAGAAATTTGAATTTTCTCTGATTTATAAATGAATCCAGAGAAATTTGAACTTAAATTCAAACCCAGAAAAAATTGGTCAAAATAAACCTAGAGAAATTTGAATTTTCTCTGGGTTGAACCCAGAGATATTCTTTGGGAAGTCTAGAATTTCTCTGAAGAGAATTTCTCTGGGAAGAACTTCTCTGGATTGAAATTTCTCTAGATCAATGTTGAGGGACCTTAGACATTATGAAATAGCTGTCGAAATTGGAGATGTTCTTGAAGTATGATAGCTTTAAGGCGAAGCCTACGCTATTGACGCAGGGCATCTACAAATATGACGAAAGAAGTTGTTTCTCCTACCAATTTAAGAAATGCTTTGAGCAATTTGAGCCCTGATGGTAATTTATTCTAGGAAGTAAGTTTAGATTTTTGTTGGTCTTATCATTATATTTGCACCATTCTCCAAATTAGTAAATTAAGAGGTCACTTCTGTTACTGATTTGCTGATTTTACAAGCACAGATGAATGATGCTTCTAAAGTTTTAAAGCCATTTTGGGCTTTCTTCATCAGTCATTTACTTCTGGTTCTGTTTTTTCCTATACTAAATCAGCATGAAGCAATTGCACAGTCTCTTGATGCTTGTATAGCACATACAATTCTTGGAGACTCGTTGAATCGGAACCAATGGAAATCCATGGTTTGTTTGGTTCAATCTGCTGTTCCACGAGGGAGGAGAAACTTGTCCAAGAATGGCTCTCTCTGTTTTCAGAATCCAGGTCATTCTCTCTCTCTCTCTCTCTCTCTCTCTCTCTCTCTCTCTCTCGCAAAAAGATTACAACAATTATGTTTTCTTAAATGTCACAGTAGAAATTGGATCTGATGATTAGTCTAGAGAAATTTGTGAAAGGTTCAAATGTTTTTGATGTTAGTTAAGAGATTCAGAGAAATTTGATATTAGTCTATAGAAATTTGGAAAAGGTTCAAAGGTTTTTTTTTTTTTATGTTAGTACAAAGACCCAAGGAAATTTGGTTAAAATGAACCCAAAGAAATTTGAATTTTCTCTGGTTTATAAATGAATCTAGAGAAATTTGAATTTGAATTTGAACCCACAGAAAATTGGACAAAATAAACCCAAAGAATTTTGAATTTTCTCTAGGTTGAACCCAGAGAAATTCTGAAATTCTTTGGGAAGTCCAGAATTTCTCTGGATTGAAATTTCTCTAGATCAATGTTGATGGACCTTAGACATTATGAAAATTGAATGTCCTTTATGTTATAAAATCTTAATATCAGGGATCCTAAAAAAAAACCCCTTAAAATTATAGATATTGTTAGATGGACTAATATTTCTATGCCATGTCTATTTACTAAAATTTAAAATTTTAAAAAATTAAAAACTTAGATTAATGTTTCAGCGCTAATAGAGCATTTTATATGAAAATTCCTTCTAGTTTTCTATCCCACGACAATGAAATGTTGTAAG